GGGAGGCTTCCTTATTTCAGGCCAATGAAAGGTTTGGAGACGTTAAATGACTTAATGAAGGTCATGGTTAGCAGTCCACATAGACCTGGGAGCTGAGTCTGATAGTCCTAGACATTTTCTCCCTGTCCAGACAGCCTCTTATTCTGGGAAGACTCAGTTGTCAGCATCCAAAGACCCTGGAACAAGCAAACATAGGAGAAGGTTAGGACAAGATGGCCTTAACCTCTTGAAACAAAAGACGAATGCCTAGAGATAACGGGATCTATCAGCACTTTAGGTGATTTGCTTTCTAGGCCAGGATGGCCTCTGACCTCTTGCAGTCCAGGACACAATCAACTGTGAACTTCTTTCTGCTCTCAGATCCCCAACTTGCTTTTTGTTCAGGCCTAAAAGGATCTGAGGCATGCGTATCGGGGAGAAATTCTGACCTTGATTGCTGTCTCGCAGGCAGAATAGGCTGTAGCCTCAGCGATTTCATTAGTGCAGTGTTTTCATTACCATCTCCATTAACTTGTTTGCAGCAATGAGATGGAATTATCCTTCCTACCAGGCCCGTGGCGAGATGCTTGCAGAAGAGCTCCCGTTCCTTTGGGCAATAAAGACACGATGGCGTTCAGTCCAGTGGGCTGGTGAGGGCAGCCTCTAAATGCAGTGGATCTGGGGCCTGGACCAGGGGGTTTGTCTTTTTTTTTTTTTAATAATATATTTTATTGATTTTTTACAGAGAGGAAGAGAGAGGGATAGAGAGTTGGAAACATCGATGTGAGAGAATCATCGATCAGCTGCCTCCTGCACACCCTTTACTGGGGATGTGCCCGCAACCAAGGTACATGCCCTTGACCGGAATCGGACTTGGGACCTTTGAGTCCGCAGGCCGACGCTCTATCCACTGAGCCAAACCAGTTTCGGCAGGGGGTTTATCTTTAGCACTTTGCCTAGCTGTGGTTTGAGCTGTACCTGGGAGAGGGAGATCCCAGCTCAAGTCAAGACTTCCTTCACCTTAGGCCTCATGCCTGTATCAGTTCTTCTCCAACAAAGTTTCACTTTGAGAGGAAGCTGGCACATGGCTGAGATGCACTCAGGAGGTTGGGGGGGAAGAGTGTTCTTTCAGTCCTCCTCCCCACAGCGCCTCCTAAGTACCTGTCATCAAAGGAGATGAAGATGAATCCCCCACCCCGTAGCCCCCACACTTCAAGGAGTTGTCAAGCTCTCTCCCTCCCACCTGCATAGGAAGCTGGAGCAGCAGGCCGCGTTGCAGGTGAAGGAAGTCAGAAGTTAACTTGAGCTGAGTTTGCAGCGCTGGAGAGACTGAGGAGCAGGCTTCTCTTTTGTCACGTTGGAAGGAGAGGATTGTGAGGCCTTCCCTTGAAATAGCATTCCCGTAGGAGGCAGATCACATCCATCCGTCACCACTGCCAGCATGTCATTTTTGGTCTCCATCAAACTCAAAGCTTGTTGGGAAGGATTGTGGGGTTAGGGGAGGCATGGTCTCCGAGGAGCAGGGGCAGTTTGTAAGCTGAAGAGGAGAGGAAGGAGGTTGGGCAGAGGAGCCTGGGAAAAGTGGGGGCAGGGGACAGGAGGAGAAGACGGGGAGAGAAGAATAGCAGGTTTTTTTAAGCCTATGAATGGAACACATATACCTTATCTAGAGGGACGGTAAAACAGAAATGGGCCTGGATTGTAAGAGGAATGAGGTTGAGGTTAGACACCAAAAATGGTGACTAGAGAAAGAGAAAGAGGAAGAGAGCACAGAATAGAAAAGCACTAGAAAAAAGATTGGGAGACTTGGCTCAGGCTTTGTTTCTTACTCTTTGTGGGACCACATCATTTTTCTGGGCTTAGTTTTAAAATTGGTTAAGTTGAAGAGGGTTAGACTAGATAGAGTCTAAAGTCTCTTTTACAAGTGACTTTAAAATAAATATATTTTGCCCTGACTGGTTTGGCTCAGTGGATAGAGTGTCGGCCTGCAGACTCAAGGGTCCTAGGTTCAATTCCAGTCAAGGGCATGTACCTTGGTTGTGGGCACATACCCAGTAGGGAGTATGTAGGAGGCAGCTGATCGATGTTTCTCTCTCATCAATGTTTCTAATTCTCTATCTCTCTCCCTTCCTCTCTGTAGAGAAATCAATAAAATATATTTAAAAAATAAATATATTTTTATTGATTTTAGAGAGGAAAGGAGAGGGAGAGATAGATAGGAACAGCAATGATGAGAGAGACATTGATCAGCTGTCTCCTGCATGCCTCACACTGGGGATCAAGCCTCCAAACCCCCAACCCAGTCATTTGCCCTGACCAGGAGTTGAACCGTGACCTCCTAGTTCATAAGTCGATGCTCAACCACTGAGCCATGCTGGCAGGGCTAAAAATAACTTTCGGGGGTGTGTGAATTTTTCTTTCCTTAAAATGGGTTAGAAGATGGGGGCCTGGGAGAGCAGGGGTGGGAAATACCACTGTGATGACGTGAAGATACCTGCTTAATTTGGGAATCTCTTTAGTTCTAATCCTAATTTTCTTTTCTTGTTAATCCTCACCTGAGGATATTTCTTCATTGATTTTTAGAGAGAGTAGGAGGGAGGGATGAAGAGAGAGAGAAACATCCATGTGAGAGGGACACATGGATTGATTGCCTTCCACATGCGCCCCAACTAGGGCTAGGGATTGAACCTGCAACCCTGGTAGTGCCCCTTGACCAGGAATCAAACCCGAGACCCTTCAGAGTGCCGGCGGATGCTGTAACCTCTGAAACACACTGGCCAGGGCTCCAGCCCAGTGGTTCTCAACCGTCTAATACTGCGGCCCTTTAATACAGCTCCTCATGTTGTGGTGACCCCCAACCATAAAATTATTTTCGTTGCTACTTCATAAATGTAATTTTGCTGCTGTTATGAATCATAATGTAAATATCTGTGTTTTCCGATGGTCTTAGGCTCTATAGCAGTGGTTCTGTTGGGACCCACAGGTTGAGAACCGCTAGCAGAGTCGCCTAAGACCATCAGAAAACACAGATATTTACATTACGATTCATAACAGCAGCAAAATTACATTTATGAAGTAGCAACGAAAGTGATTTTATGGTTGGGGGTCACCACAACATGAGGAACTGTATTAAAGGGCCGCGGCGTTAGGAAGGCTGGGAACCACTGCTCTAGCCCATTCTTTTTTCCTTGATAAGGACTGCAATTACTCTCAAATGTTGAGAATTGGTTCGTATAGGAGTCTGACTGGGATCTCAGATGCAGCTATGTCTTGGCTGGCAAGAGGGGAAAGGTGTGTGTGATGAAGTCAGATGGACAGAGAGGGGGGAGTCCCAGTATTCTTTCAGGGTTTTCTCCATCTCTGACTCTGCCATCTCCTGCTGTCTCTGTACTTCTGGGAGCTGGTTCTGTGGATACTTCTCAGTCCTGCCAGATCTGAAGGCCTGGCCTAACCTAATTGCCTAAAAGGCAGTTCTTGAATGTTGAGAGTTCTTTACCCTGTCACTGCACTTCACTTGATTTTTTCTTTTTCTTTTTCCTACTCCATTGCTTGGGAAGGGGGAGCCTCCACCTGACATCTAGAACGGAGTAAATATCTTCTCCTGATATCTACTTCCCCTCCTTCCAATCGCCAGAGTTCTTGGAATTAAAACTCACACCCTGGGATCCTGGAATAGGTAGGGCACACATCTCCACCTCCTGTGTACGCAGGCTTTTCCCAGTGCCAGAGCAGGTGGCCATTCAGGGGGACAATTCTAAGGAATGCTGCGGTGGTTCCTGCCAGAGTCCAAAGTGGGACTCCGTTTGACGGAAGAGGCTCTGTCCTGTTGCATAGTCTTTTGAGTTAAATTCCAGGCCCTGCATTCTGAAAGTGTTCTGAGCAGCTCGGCTGTCTTGTGCTGGGCCCCCAGCCACTAGATTTCTCTCACCAAAGACAGATAAAGAGGAAATAATCCGGAAAGGCTGCAGGAGGGCCTGAGATGAACGATGGGGAATGATTTCCTGGCCCTTACGGAGTCATGTTTAACCAAAAGAAGAGACGTGGTGCTTCCTGCTCTGGTGGATTCCCTCTGTAAAAGCTTTAAACTTTGGAGAAACTTCCGCGGCCAGGAGGGGAGTCAGACACCAGCAGCAAGGCCCCAGCGAGGTGGACGCGTCAGGAAGACCAAGCAAACGGGGGGGGGGGGGGGGGGGAAAGCTAACCGCACACGAGTGGGACACCATACAACGCAGAGCACACCCTGCACTTTTCTCTGCAAAGGCTGGATGGAGCCCCCTGGGAGCCGGTCCGGGGGTCTGGGTTCTGATGGTGGTGGCTTCCCTCAGCCAGCGTGCCAGGCCACACCCCCTCCCCAGGCTGCGAGAGGCGGGCTCCATCCCTGCCCCCCTCCCACACGGGACACCAGGCACATGCGAATGCACGAAACGCACACGCACGCACACAGAAACTCCCAACGCCCAGCCAGAGAACCCACGCAACACCCACAGCGAAGTCCCGCCGCCGCCGCCGCCGCCTGCGATGCGCCGGGTAAACACGCACTCGCACCCCCCCCCCCCCCGGCGGGCACGCACAGCCTCTCCTCCCGGGCGCGGGGTGCGCGCTCCCGCCCCCGGGCGCTTTTGTCTCCGCGAGCCCCCGGCTTCCAATCGTTTCCCGCGGAGGAGCGGCTGCGGGAGTGAGAGCCGCGCGGGCAGGCCGGCGAGGAGAAGGGAGCGGAGCGGAGGGCGGGGGACCGGCCGGGGGAGGAGGGGAGGCCGAGGAGGCGGCCCCGGCTGCGCGCGGCGGCGGCGCGGAGAGCTCGGACCGGGAGCCCAGAGGGCGGCTGGGCGGCGGGCGAGGAGGAGCCGCAGGAGCTGCAGCGCTGCCAGCTCGGGCCGAGCCCAGAGACACCGGCCTGGCTGGCCCACGCCAGCCGCAGGTGGGAAGGGGCTGGGATGGGGGTGAGGGTCTTCCTGGCAGGGGGGCTGAGGCTGAGCCGCGGCGCGGTCTCCCCCCTCTGTTCCCACAGAAAGAGGCTGAGCATGGAGCTGTCCCCGCGCAGCCCTCCCGAGGTGCTGGAGGAGTCGGATTGCCCGTCGCCCCTGGAGCTGAAGTCAGCCCCCAGCAAGAAGATGTGGATCAAGCTTCGGTCGCTGTGAGTCCCCGGCCCGGGGTGGGGGGGAAGGGATCTCAGGGCGCCTGGAAAAAAGGGGGGGGGGAAGGTTTGCCGGAGTCGGGCTGGTGGATCCCCCCCCCCACACACACACACATGTTGGCAGGTGCAAGGAAATAAGCTGCTCTGACACGAGTGGCCAGGACACATGTGCAAGGCATGTGCCGGCCGGGAAGGGCAGGCTTAGGAGTTGCAAAGCTAGCGCTGTGGACCCTCGGGGACACGCAGCGCGGAGCGGCGGCACAGGACGTGCGGTGCAGTGTGGCAGGGCTGCAGACCGGCAGCGCTCAGGAGGCGCCGGGCTGACTCACACGGATCCCTGTGCAGGGCTGTGCAGATGTGAGACACATCACATGCATGTGCATGAGTGTCTGAGGGTCACCGGGATGTCTGTGGAATGACTGCACACAGCTGCGGAGGCCGTGCATGGGGATGCCAGTGCCAACCTGTGGGTCATTTGTATCTCGGCTGGGATTGGTGGCTTCTGCCTCCTGCAGTCCTACATGGGGTGGGGGTGGGGGACCCCCATACCTGAGCTGCTCCTTCCTCTTGAGGCCTGGAGGCCCCCCCCCCCCCCCCCACACACACACTCTGCACTTCTCCTGGGATCTGGAGAAGTGGTGGAACCCCTACCTAGGATCGGGAGGAGGAGGAGGGTAGGGTCCCACCCGGGAGCAGGGAGGCGAAGAATGATTGACGGGGGCAAGGAAACAGTCAAAGCCTTGCTGTTGCTGTTGGGTCGCCCTAGGATCTCCAAGCTCATTTAGGCATCTTTGTTCATTGCTGCAGGGTGAGGGCAGATGGGGAGGAATAGGTGAGCAATAAACGAGGAAAGTCCCAAGGGAGGAGAGGAACTTTTCTTCCTGCTCCTCAGAGAAAGAGAGGATCTGGTCAAATACAGGCCGCTCACCCACCTCCCACTGAGCCGTGAGTGGGGAACCCCTGCAGTCTGTTGATTTGGGAAGGTGCTCCTCTCCCTAATATGACCCCTTGTGGGCCCAGGAGAGAGGCTGCAGATGTTTAACGAGGAAATACAGGTAACACGGCCCCTAAACCCGGTTTCTCCCCAGGATCCTCAGCAGTGAGCACTGAGGCTTCCATTTCTGGGCTCTGGCCGAGAGGGAGAGATGAGGCAGGAGATGGCTAGATGCTCACGATGGTGTTGTTTTAAAAAAATACTTCAATGCGGCACTAAGAGGATGCCTTTTCACTGGGTGGTGGGTCCGATTTATGTACTAGCTGCTCAGAGAGGCCCGAGGGAGGACGGAGGCACGGTGGTAACAAGGCTTGGAGTCCAAATGTGCTTCGCAGCTCGCCCCTTCGCTGCCTCCAGCCAATGCAATTTGCGGGCTCTCTGGAGCGCAGCCTTGGAATGAGTTCTGGGATGAAGAATGGGAAACCGGATTGAATTGATTTTTTTGTTGGGAGGGGCGCTGGTTGATCCTTGTTCGAAAACTGTGCTAGCAACTCTTAATCGTAACTAAGATTGGAAGAGGGTCAAGTAAGGAAGTGGTTGAAAGACAAAAAAGGGGCCTCAGGGCCCATAAATGGGAGCATTCTAGGTATCCTGGGATGACTGCCCCATAGCTCTAGTGGTCATTGTATACTTCCCCAGCCTCCATTCCAGGTAACAGGTCCTGCAGAAGAGCAAGTTTTACCATCTCCCTTTCTAACCAAAAGTCTTTCCTGGAGGCAAATTGCTATTTCTTTTGAGGTGAGAAGCTCTCATTGACGATAGAAGAGGATCCTAGGAGTAGGTATTGAAACCTGGGGAGAGAAGGGAGCAGAGGCCCTGCTGTCCCTATGAAGTGTGTTAGTTGATGTGTCCCTACAGGAGACGGATGGTGGACAAGGATCACTAATTATATTGATTCCATTATCCTGGTCTTCACTCACTTTGGCAATCTGGACATCAAGAGTGCTAGCTATGTGTAATAACATACCTAGAAAAGTACCATCTCCTCATTATCAACCACCAAGACAGATTCCCAATCTCACATCTTCAAAGCAGAGAAAGATCTTGGTAACAAGGGAGATTCCAAGTTGATGGGTGACTGGGTTTGGCCCTGTTTGAATATTGGGGAGATGTTGCCAGTCAGAGGAAGGGAAATGAAAGGACTTAGGACTAGGGTAGGAGAGAGAAACTTTCTAACTCTCAGGGTTGAGAGCTGATCAAAAAAAGCATTCTTTCTTTTAGGTGGAAATAGAACATATCTTCCCCCAACCTTAATCACCACTTGTGCCCAAACGGGCTTGAGTGGGAAGGGGTTGTTTAGTCTGGAAATGTTTAGTGGGGTGGGGGATGAACATAATTATCTCAGGACTGGATACTGAATAGAAATGAGAGCAGATGGAGTATATCTATATCTATATCTATATCTATATCTATATCTATATCATCTATATCGGCTTTGATTCCCCTACTCAACATATCCTATATCCCCTCCCCCCTATGCCCTTTTAATTTCTAATCTAGAACATCTAGACTCTCTTCAGGGAGGCCAGGCCATGCCTCTGGTTAAAAAGCGATATAATATAATTGTGCAGGGAAATTTCTTTCTGGGAAGGGCATCCAGGAATTTTGTTCCCACACTAACATTCTGCCAAAGATAAATCCAGAATCTGGAGCATATGAGCTGGAGAGTCCCTGACTGTGGGGTTTCACCTCTACCTAGCAGGAAAATATTCCTAACTAAGCAGACTCAAGCTGAGAAACAGGAGAGAGGCTGGGGCAGGCAGTCTGGAGGTGATGGATTGACCAGCATGGTTTTTAGCATCTCTCACCCTAAGATGAAGGCACTGACTTCTCTGAGACCAGAGGGCTTTCAGGAGTGAGGGGGAAGGTCAGTAGGAGTAGAAGGGGGTTTTCTATGTCTTTTTGGGAATCAAGAAAAACTATGAGTAGAGATTGGTTTGTTACCCTTAGCTCATTCATTTCTTCATTCAACAACTATTAATTTTCTCCTGTGTGCCATGTGATGTGCTGGATAAAATGAACACAATCCCTGTTCCTATGGAGCTTGTAATTTGGGTCAACTCCAACATTTTGAAACACCTGTTCCTCATTTTGATACACCCACCCAAGCGGTAAAATCCTACCACTGGTTTCTGCTTAATCTTTTCCTTTGGGGGTTACAGGAGAGGACAAATATCACTCTCTACTCTCTGCTTCAGTTCATCCTGGAATTTTACAGACAAAACCTACCTCTTCCTTTGGGTTAGTACAGACACAACCCTTCTCTCTTTCTCCACACGGCACACACTCAGGACTCTCAAGGTCTAGGCTCAATGTCATAGGCTGTTGTTCAAGGTCATTAAGGTGAGCCGGAGCAAGGACCTCGCTGGGGATTGTTTTTGACCATCTTGTTTCGTCAGAGTCTAGTGTGGTACCTGAAATATAATAGGCACTCAATAAATAAAAGGAACAAATGAACGAGTGATTATATTTGAATATGTCACAGAGCCCAGGGCTGACTCTGATTCTGTGGTGCGAGTGTTCCTGTGTGGGGAGGAGGGGCGAGTAGAAAATGGGGGTGGAAGGAAGGGAGCTGTTGTTGTTTGAGAAAGCGATGTTTAAAAGGTGTGGGGTTTGAGTGCCTCCGGATAGAGCCTGGGACTGAAGGAGTTACAGAGAGGCTACATAAACGACATTATTTGGATGTGGGAACGAGATGTATCCGAATGATTGTGAATGCTCGACATGTTTACGTATGATTCTGGGTAAAGGTTGATATACGTGCGGGGGTGCGGGGGTTTGTGGAGTCGGAATTCTGTGACGATGTCTCTTTGTTTTTATATTTATGAATGGCATGTGTGATAATAAATATGCTGGGAAGGTCTGCTGACTTGGGGTATGCTGAATGCCTGGAATTGTTCTATGTATGAATGGGATTGTCTGAGTGTATGTGAGTACGTGTGTAGGTAATGGGGTAATATGTATGTGTGGTTCTGTGTATGTGTTTGCGACACTCACATTTTTTGACAGTCCTGGGGCGATCAAATGGGTAGGAGGAGGAAGCTGAGGGACTGAACTGGGCGTCTCACTGATTTATCCCACCTTTTGTCCTCCTTTTGTGTATGCCCCGTGAGTGATCTTCTGTGGCTCTTACCAATTTTGAAAACTGTGCTGCTGTCCTCCTTTTCCTGCATATGGCTGTGGAGCTGTTGTGAAGATTGCAGGGTAAACTATAGCTCCCTGGATTGCTGGAGAAGGATCATCGTTCTCCTAGGCCTTAGTGAGAAGATTTTTAGTGCTTTCCTCCTCAAATCAGCCCTTCCTCCTTTATTTCCAACCACAGCAAAGGGACTTTCTCTTTCTTGGATTTATATCCCCCATCCCCACCCCCTATCAGATGGCTTCCATCTCTCTATTTCCCCCATCAGCTTTGTCTGAATGAGGCATCCCGGACGATAGAGGGTGGAACATTTCTGCAGTAAGCTGAGGGGAGGTGCACAGACGGGAAAAATCAGTTCAGACCCAAGGAAGAACTCCACAAACTCCTGGTCCGAATGGGTGGCTGGAGGGAATCAGGGAGGCAGGGCTGTTGAAGATCATTGGGAATATTGGGAGATGAGAGTTGGAGTTCATGTTTCCACTCCGCATGATCTTGAAGTCACGGGGTCTCTCTGAATCTCAATTCTTCATTTGTTGTCATCCATATGAAATGTCATCCATATGAATGATACAGACTGTAGTTCTTTCAGCATGGGAGTAAGAATAAATGGGCGATCATTGGCTTGGATGGGTAGAACATAAAGATTCAAGAGGCAGAAATATGAATTACTTAGTAGGTTTGAGTCCCCGTGTCTGGGACGTGATTTGGAAGAGTCTTGTTGATGAATGGTAGTCTGGAGCAGGCGAGGCAGGTGTCTGAGCTTAGAGAATAGAAGGCTGGATGGGGCTGAGGAAGGGCTGACCTACATAGAGGGTGGGCCACTGAGGTCCAAACAAAGAGATGACACACCTTATCATCTCCTTTCCT